TCCATGTGAGAGCTATTTGGGCAGGTATATCAGAAATCATTCTCATAACTGGCCAAGCCATTTCCATCTTCTCTTGGTAATCATACTGTCTCAAGTTTCTTGGTTTGTGGCTTAAAGTAGTGTTTGAGATTGTATCTGGCCAGAAAATTTTGATAATTCTAACCCCCAACATCAGCTTAAATGATTAAGGTGTTTTTGTTGTCTGTTTGTTTATAAAATGTAGTTTATGCTCGTTCAAAAAGTCTGTGATAAATCTTCCATCTTACATATGCCTAGATACTTAGATTTCTGTAGCTGTCCCAAGATAATGCTACCGATTTACATTTTGGCACAATTCTTGTCTAAAAGAAATATCCCTCCAGTAAAACAACTGAATTTTATGATCCTCAGAATGTATAACAATGAATGTTTGCAAATATTCAGCTTAATCTGTGTGTAAAAAAATTTAAAATAGAAAATTATAAACCTTTAAATTTGTCAAAACTTAAAAAACAAACGTAATAAATAAAATAACAAAAATGCGTTGTAGATAACCAAATTTAAAATTTAAAAAATGACAACACTCACAACTATTTCCATAACAGCATACTAATCTAACTCTAAGGCATAAATTTACACTTTTATGATAAATATTTCTGCCACAATCTATCTGACGATGTTTTTACTTTCTATTAATATAATGTATATCGCTATGAACAAGCTTTATAGACAAAATATAACTGTGAAAGATGAAGAGGGAGGCAGAGAGAAGATGCTGGACAGTCTGACACAAGATAATGGGAAATCACCAGTGTTAAAACTGACTGCAAAAAACATGAGATAGAAGGCTGTGGATAGACTTGACTATCAATGCCAGACATCATGGAATAAAAGAGTTTGTCTATTCGTGTTTACCGGCTGTAAACTCTGGCAGAAAGTTCTGGTTGTTTGTCCACTTCTGGACTTCAGTCTGGTTCTGAAACAACCGTTTTACAGATCTGGCTTTGTTGTATGCAAACATCTGGCTTATTGCCTCACAGGCAGATGCACTCCAACTTCAAAGGAAACCTTTAATTAGTCGACTCCTATGACATGCTTTTCAGGGAGGTAGTGGGCCTAAAAAAACCCGAACCCAATGGGACCCCAGAAAAGAAAAGACCCACTGCTCCCCAACAAGCATGTCGTACAGGGCAAATAATCAGGGATATTTCCTTTGAAGTTGGAGTGTATCTGCCTTAGAGGCAGGGAACAAATAGTCTGCATACAGATAAGTCAGACATGTAAAATGTATGTGCATACAAAACTCAAGTCCTGGAAAAAATCCAAAAAGCAGAAAAACAACTGGAACTCTCCGCCCAGAGTTTACAGCCAGAGAACACAAAGGAGAACTTTATATTTTATATGAACCCCTCAAGGCAGTGCATTTGTCCTCTCTCTTGTAACTTGACTGATGCCCAGTTTTGCAGAAATCCTTCCTTTGGGCATGGAACCAAACCACATATCTAATTTAGTATCAGCTATGTTCATTAATTTAAAAGAAAGAAAGAAAGGGAGAAAAATGACTTCCATAAAGCATGTCTAAAAGGCAGAAGCCACCACCAATTGTCAAGTACTACAACAGCGATAGACAGTGCATGATGATTACACCCTCACTGTTTGGCAAGGAAGATGCTCCAATCAGCTTCTTGTCTTGTCCTAGCAATTCATACATAAGCAATAAGGTAAATGCTTAAACAATTAGGTGAATGCCTCTGAACAACTGATTTCCTCCTGTTTCCAAAAATAAAGAAATCTCTCTGTGAGTAAATTTTTCAAATGACCTGGACTTAACTAGTGAACTAGAGAATCAGTTCCCCTGGTCCAGTCAGAAGAGTTCTGCAATAAGCAATGTGAAGAAAAGATGGAAAAAGTGCACATCCTTGAAGGTTGAATACTCTCAGGTGACTAAAGTTTGCAGTAATTTCAAATGAGCCTTAGTTGGACATCAGGAGGTAAAGATGAATGCACGTTGACCCAATCACCTGCCAAGTGTCAACTGGTCCACAAAAATATGTGTCTAGCATCATCTGCCTAATGCTTAACTCGTTCAGTCCTAAGCAACTCTCCCTGTCTTTACTAAACTCTGGTTCATTATATACTATTCTTAACATACTGTTCCCCATCCAGTAATTAGGTTAACTTACACTGCCTCAATTGTTGCTTTTTATCCTTCTTTCTCATATTCTTATTATTTTATCTCCTTCAGGCTCAAACGTTTTAGTTCAAATAATAAAATCTAAGGATATATCATGATTAGGAAGCATTTAACCTGGGACTCAAAAGTCTTTTACTTGCCTAACTCCTAAATTATAGTCAAATGTAGTCTAGCTCAAGAGTTTATTGCTAAAAGTTCACAAAGCAACACTCCACAGCTTACAAAAAAACACAGCTATTCAAAATGTCCAATTATCTGGACATTTATAACCTTACAGAAATCCTGAAGATTTTAGCAGGAACTGACAGATGGTGGAAATGTGTTTTCATTATTATCATCATAATGTAGCAGGCTCTTTGCAGAATGTCGCTTTCATCATGGCATGAAAAAAAGCCAGGGTGCCCCTGATATCCTGTGCTGGTGAACCTCACTTCTTTCAGAAACAATTCCCTCTGTTGTTGTTCTCTGCAAATCAGTTCCTCTTCTTCAGCATTGTGAGTCTCTGAGGTTCACTGCTGTATTATCACTTGCCCCTATTCATCTATGTGGTTAGCCTTCTCTTTCCAGGTGGTGACTCCAAATGTTTGTAGGTCTCTCCACATATTATCTCTCCACTCTCTTCTCAGTTTGCTCCCATTAAACTCTTTTACTAGAAACTATTATGACTTTTAATATGCCTGAAGTATTCTCCCTTACCTAAACAACCATTACATAAACACACTAACAAATGTAAGACAAAAACCTCCTGAATAACAAGTAAAACAAGCACCAATTATTGAACATATCAGCAATAAGTTAATTAGAATAACTTCTCAACCATGTCATTTCCGTTTTTTCAACATTGCCTTCCTCTTTAGCTCTTCTTGCTCCTTCCTCATGTCTTCTAAGTCTTCCATTAGACCTAATTTGGCACTCCGCTTCTCTTCCTTCATTACAGTGGCGTAGTCAGCTTCCATGTCAGACAAGTCTTCGTCTTTTTCATACTTGTACCTGTGAACAAAATCATCAATAGTTTAGAAACTGGAAGTGGGAGGAAGCAAGCAAGAGGATAATAACAGCATCACTAAATGCCTTGGCAAGTGGTGGAAACAATTACATGTCTCCACAACTTGCAAAGCACGTATCAGTTTGTGAGATGACAGTTTTCCAAGCCAAGACAATAGACGGTCTAGGCGTGGTCAAGTGGCCTTTTGGGAGCAAGTGAACACCGCAAGGGCATTATGGTCAGGAGAGAATGGTAACCAGGAGTTAACAAGGGATCTGGTCGACACTCTCCACTCAATCAAAATTCTACTAGTACCATCCACCATCAAAACTAGAACTCTTCGCTGGCTGCTGAAGATGAGGGTGGAGGGTTTATGGAAATGTTCCGAGTGCTGTCATTTCTTAGCTCAACACTCTAGACAGTCTACAATCTTATTTTGGTGTCTTTCTGTCACAATTTTCAGCTGTTACTACATGTTCTAGTCTGGGTCTCATAACATATTAGTGGCCAGAACTGTGACAAGGAAGGAATCTGCCACTACCTACCTTTCATGGGGTTGCCTTGAGTATGAGAAGACCTAAAATCTTATATCCCAAAAGCAGTAACTGGTATAGGATTAACTTTACATTTATCAACGATGTGTATCGATAATTTCTTCTATAATAACCAATGTTAGATCTCTTCCTGCCCTAACACTGCCAGGCATTCCAGGAGTCAAGAAAAAGAGAACAATAATAATAAACTCTGTGGTGAACTGATGCACAACAAACTGTTGTAAGGGCCCTCTGGGAGTGATTGAACAGAGGCAAATACAGACCATCATGGTCTGAGGAGAAAGGTGCTGCAAGGAGTGGCCAGAGGACCAGGTTTGTGATGACCTATTAAGAATACTATCTTTGTCATTGTCTTCATCATTCCAGGCCCTTGAGATTCATTGCTGTAGACATTAACCACCTCCATTTATCACCTTGACTGGCCTTCTGTCTCCAGCTGATGACTCCAAATGTAAAGGATATTGTGTGGTGCAGAAACATGGACAATGGACAGCCAGCTAGAAAACATTATTTGAATCCCTGGAGATATGGATACAAAGAACAGGTAGTTCTGCATAGCGGAGCGGATAATAAAATACACAAAATATGAATGAAAAGAGTTGCAGAAGAGACAAGTGAAACATTTCAGGCACTTAAAGACTTAACTCTCTTTAGAAAAAAACCATTCTTGAAAGAAAAGTTGAAGACAAAGCAGTCAGAGCAGACAATGAGACAAGTGGGAGGAAAACATCAAGAGACGGATAAACAGTAGTCTGAAAGTGCACAACTATGACAAGCGATAAACAGTGCTGGAGATCCACTGCAGCCAAGCTTGTGGAGGGCATCTAAAGGATTCATTTAAAGGACGTCACAATACATTTGATTTTATATCTGAAAACAATTAAGTGGGTTACAGCTAATTATTCTTCTTCGCCTCAGCATTTATTGGCTGTAAACTCCAGCGAAAAATGTTCTGGTTGTTCGTCCACTGCTGGATTTCAGTCCTGTTCCAGAATATGAATTTTTAAATGCACACCTGTTTCAAAGATCTGGCAAATTTGTATGCAGACTGCTGGTTGCTTGCCACTGAGACAGATGCATTTTGTCCGGAGGGAAAATCCCCAACTAATCGCCTTTTACTACATACCTGTTAGGGAGGAAGCAAGTCAATCCCCCCCCCCCCCACAAATGGGATCCTAGAACCCACACAGGGATGCTGATTATTAATTATCTATCAGTCAACCATGAGTTAAATTTATCTATGATGCACTGACAAAACATTAACTAAACAACAATGCAAAGTACATACTTGCTCTTGTCATAGCCAAACAACTTTTTAATCTCCTGAGAATAATCTGGTTCATCCCCCTCGCCATCATCAATAAAGTCATCCATGTCTGGGTCTTCTTCCTCCTCTTCAGAGTCGAGGAAGCGGCCTTTCTTGACTGGGACGGCTGGTAACAGAAGGAATAAACAAACATTTTAATGAGAAGCCTACAAATAGGTGCAAAAAAAAAAGTGTTGAATAGTAATTTTCAGGAGAAACGGGGCTGAGAAATTTAACTAGATAGATTATATGAAACAGGTATACAGGAAATGCATCTTACAATAATGTACACTAAAATTGGACACCTTAGATAAGTTAGGGCACAAATGTGTGTAATACTCTTTACATAAAAAAAATGAAAATGACAATTATGAAAAATGATTCAATGAAAACCCCTCCCAATGACTTTCCTGGAAATGTATGAAAGGTATAACTAGAAATAAATAAAGCATAACCAGAAACAGATGAACAGTATATTGCCAGGGGTGGCAGAATCAAATAAAGCAACAGTTAGGAAGCAAGCTATTATTTGAGGTTGTCAGAAGTCACCATCAGCATTCAGGTCTGCGTCCTAGTTCTTGGGAATATGGCCTATACTGTCTGTGAAGAAGGACTTTGGTGCGTGATGAAGTATTTGGCTACTGTCATCACCATATCTGCACTAATGTGGAATCATCCTTTGTCAGCATTTTTAAGGGTTTACCTAATTGTGTAGCAGGTCCTTTGCAGAATGTCGCTCTTATCATTGTATGTCTGAAAGAAAGCTGGTCTCTTGCCAGCTCTCCCGTCTCGTGCACTTTTCTAACCAAGGTGTCATCTATATCATGTGCCCATCATTGCGTTGGTTGGCCCCTGCTCCTCTTTACTGGTACCATGCCTTCTGTTATTATGGTTTTTAAAAGGTTAAAACATAATTAGATGGGGAAAGACTAGGATTCTCAAGGAACAGTGAATGAGATAGTCATTTAAGGAAACAACCACAAACTGATGAGAAGAAATTATGCAAAGCCAAGGAGAAGACATAAACTTGAAAACTGAGGGCAGCTGGGAAACTGATGTCAAAAGAGCTGGGGGGAAGACAGAGATAAATACCTAAAATGGCACAAGCAGCATATGAACACAGGCCCGATACTCTGGTAATAGTTAGAGATAGTACACTGTGAAAGCCCATGCTTAACCCAGTAAGTATACGGGCAGGGTGCATGGTTAGGATACCATGTTGTAACACCACTTAGAAAATACAGACTGGGTTCATTAGACAAGAATGGACTGTAACACTAAGCACTTCGTGAATGGCTGGCCTAACATTCACATTTGTGCTAGGTGTTTGAGGCAACGAATGTGCAGAGAATCTTGCAGACACTGAGAATGCTATGGCTAGTCCCGTACTAGACAGAAGTAATGTTATTAATGCCAGGCGCAGCACTTTCTGCCAAGTTTGGAGCTGTAAGAAAGGACTACTTTACCAAGGGAACAAGATGTCTTGATTAATCAACACAAAACAAGTGTCATCGGGCATCAGTCGTTAAGCCCTGTGAAGCTTTTGAGGACGAGGTGGGAGCACCTACGGACCTGTCCCTAGTCATCCTCTCATCCACTGAGTGTTGTTTCATAAGGAAATTATGAATCTTGCATCTACTCTCAATATTCCACCATGCCATGGTAACAGAATCACACATCAAATATATCATCACATCAGGCACATTTCACAAACATTAACCTTCGAAAAATTACCTGATTGAGACTGCTGTGCTGGCCTTTTCTTCTGGAACTGGCCCATTATTCTGTCAAAAGGGTTTACTGATTTTCCTCCTGATTCTTCATCATCACTGCCAGGACCACAAACAAGTACATTTTCATTAACAGTAATGTTTTTTTGCTTGTTTTTAATATCACCATTCGCAGCAACCTGATGGTTATTTCTTGAGCTGTCTTTGTTGAGTATCTGTTTGTTGTTGAAAGACTGTTTACTGCTGCCTGATAAGACCTTATTTTTATCATTCAAAGCTGGATGCTGGGATGTCTGTCTCTTATCACTGCTGTTTTCAGCAGCCGTCTGCAACTCATCCTCATCAGAAGAATCATATGTCTTTGCTGGTGGCTTTCCTCCGAATTTTAACCAATCTTGGTATTCTTTGGTCTTTTTCCTTTCTCTCCTATCCTTTTCTTCTTGAGTGAGGGGGCGTTCATCTTCTTCCTTTTTCTTTTTCTGGACAGCCCCCAATGGTTTTGGGGGTTCTTTCTGCTTCTTTTCTGCCATTTCTAACAGAGCTTTAAAATCCATTGGCGGAGCGGACTGAAGTGAATGTCTCACAATCACTGGTTTCCTGGGTTTTGGAGATGATTTCCGAGTGTTGTCACGGGGCGACAATGAGCTATCCTTCTTTTTATTATTGTTCTTTTTATCATCATTGCCAGATTTCTTATGCTTGTGCGTGCTATCCACATCTCTCTTAGAAGATTTATGCTTTTTCTTAACTTTCACTTCCTTTTCAGGTTCACCCGCATCTTTTTTCATTGCTCGTTCCCAGGCCTGTTTTGCCATTCGGGTTATTTTTTCTTTCTCAAGCTTAGCCGTCCTTTCAGACAACATGATATCTAAAGCAGAAGGCACATCATTATTACCCTCATCTTCATCTTCAGAGGATGACACAGTATCTCTGACAATTTCCACAGATTTAGTTTTGTCATCATGTTTTACGTCAGTCTTTGATTTCCTATGAGTTTTTTCTCCTTTACCCCGTCTCCCTTTCCCCATGTTTTCTTTGTGGATGGCTTCAAGTGTTCTTTGCTTGATAGCCTGAAGCCGAGCTAGAATCTTCTCTTTTTCGGAAAGAGTTGAATTTGCCTGCCGTTCGACCGTAGGATTGAGATGGTGTTTGCTTAACACAACCGGCAGCTGATCAGAAGCACTGGGCTGGAGCCCAGATGGAGGGGCATCCTTTGATGCCGATGGTGGAGAAGACTTGAGTTCAGGTTTAGACAATGATGGTTCTTTAGGTTTCGAGGAGTTCTGGCTTTTGGAAGAAGAATTAGCCAAATGTTTTGCTTCTCCAGAGGGGGTGTCTTTTTGTGAGCGCTCAGAGTCACGTGGTCTGGAATTCCCTGAAGTGGACTTGGAGGTGCCAGAACTATGTCTATGTTCATGATCTCGTGATGAAGAGGATGACCTTATTTCAGAAGACATGCCAGATTTATGCCCTGAGTTCGATAGCTTTGGATCTGATGGTGATTTATAATGACCACTGTGTGATGAGGACGAATGTTTATCTGCAGCATTTCCTTTAGAATCTTTATGACTGTGTGATGATGACGAATGTTTATGGCTATGTGATGAGGATGACTGTTTATCTGAGGAACTTCCTTTCAAATCATTATGACTGTGTGATGAGGATGAATGTTTATCCGAAGAACTCCCCTTTGAATCTTTATGACTGTGCGATGAGGACAAATGTTTATCTGAAGAACTTCCTTTTGAATCTTTATGACTGTGCGATGAGGACAAATGTTTATCTGAAGTACTTTCCTTTGAATGTTTATGACTGTGTGACAAGGAAGAATGTTTATCTGAAGGACTTTCCTTTGAATCCTTATGACCTTGTGAGGAGGATGAATGTTTATCTGAAGAGCTTCCTTTTGAATCTTTATGACTGTGTGGTAAAGACGAATATTTATCTGAAGCATTTCCTGATAAATCAATATTAGAAGAACTGTGAGATTTTTCCTTGTGAGATGAACTACTGGAATGATTTTTACTGCAACCGTCTTTGTCTGTCTTGAGTTTATCATCCTTTTTCTCTGACAAAGAAGGCTGACTTTCCATATATGAAGTTTCTGTGTCATCAAACAGAGAGTTTATCAGCTTTTCCACATCTGGATTTTGCTCTGGTTTCTTCTTGGGGATTCTAAAAGTATTCTGTTTTTTCTTGTCCTTCTCTTTCTTTTCCTTTTCTCTGCGCAGAGCCTCTTCTGTTGATAGAAAGAATAGGACTTTTAAAACATTAGATCTTAAGGTATACTGCCCCCCCCCCCACCCCAAAAAAAATTTTTTTTTATTTAAATGATAATCTTTCTGTGTTTTTGAGAGGCCGTTGTAATAAGATCTAACGGCCTCTCAAAAACAGTACTGCAGGGAAAGTAGAGGGAAAGAGGAGAAGAGGCAGATCAAGAGAGACCTGGTTACAGAACCTGACTGACCGGACAGGCCTCAGGCATGCAACCAGTGAAGCTCATCACAACTGACTGCCAAAGGTGGAGAGAGCTGATCAGACAGTCAACAGAAACTGGTATGTAGTGTTAAGGGATGATGATAATAGGATGGTTCAAAACCAGCACGAGACAAGCTGAGACATTCTGGCCACATGAAGTGTTATGGTAGCCTTGAGAGAAGGATGATTGATAAAGGGTGCAGTTTCTGGCAAGTGAGACTGGGGCAGAAATCAGTGAAGGTAGATACAAGACACTGAAGTTGCATTGGTTAGAGAAAGAGAGACTTTCAGATGTGCCGTGATGAGTTCATCATTCTGTAAAGGACCTGCTGATCGATGATATAGATGGCTGCCCGCCCAAGAAAAAACAAAATCTTGACTTCAAATCAATAGTGTGGCTATTTTTACAAGTGACCGAGGGCCCTCAGTTAAACCCAGCTAAAAATGGGTATCAGAAAATGACTTTCAAGGTAAAGGCAGTAGGTGTGATGTTTATCACATCACCCAAGAAGCGTCAATTGGTCTATAAAACTATGGGTCTGGCACTATACCCTGAACGGATTGGCATGAAAAGGACCATTTACTGTTAAGTTACTTTATACACATATGGACAATAAATCCAATCAAAAAGACCCCCCCCCCCCCCCCCACCACCACCAAAATGAATAAATCGACTTTAAAAAAAATTCTTATAACTTGTTCAGTTACAGGGGTGTCAATAACCAAAAGTATGCATACAAATAAGCCAGATCTGTAAAACAGTTGTGCACCAGAACTCAAGTTCTGGAACAAGACTAAAGTCCAGAAGTGGATGAAAACCCAGGACTTTGTGCCAGAGTTTACAGCTGGTGAATGTGAAGAATAGAAAGAGCGATACAGACAAAAAGCATTAAAAATATTATTAGCATGTGCATATCTGAGTGGCGTCCGTGGCTTAGGCGCTGCAAGTCCGACTCGTAATTCCAATGTACTGCGATCAAAACCCACTGCTGGATTTTTATCATGGTAGGGGCGTCGCAGGTTGACCCAGCCTAAAATGGGTACCAGGATGGCTGTCCTGGGGAGGTTAAGACGGACGACGTAATCTTGACCACATTACCAACCTAGTGCCTACGGTCAGTAAAAATATGGTTGCTCTTCCCATATGCCTGATACACCTAAAGGCATGAAAAGGGATTTCTACTTAATTTTTACTATGTGCATATCTGAGCAATGGAACGTACAACAGAAACATAATAACAGGAATACCAATGCCTGAACTGACACAACTGTATTTCTGACCAGTGAAAGGTGGAGAATAGTGGTCAAGACTGTTCAACACAATATTCTTACCAATGCTGTGCTGTCAATGTCAAACATGGACACTGTCTTCAGAAGACAGAAGGAAAATAGTCACTACAGAAAAGAAATGTTTACGTAGACTTATGATATCAGAAGGAGAGGAGAGTCTGCACAGAACCAATACTGAATTTTATAGGTAGATAACAAATCAAATGGTTTGGCCATGAAACAAGATTGGCATCAGACAGGGCACCACAGAGAGCAATACTATACAGATACAAAGGTAACAGATCCAGAGGTCGACTATGCAGAAGATGGACCGCAGAAATATCAGAGACATTGAAAAGTACTATATCCGAAGAAAACAGAAGGGCTATTCCAGCTATCTCTTCCTGTCCTGATGCTGGGAGGCATTCCAGGAGTAGAGACAAGCAGAAGAAGAAGAAGAATGGTTCAGAGCTAAAAATAGATAATCCCAGTCTGAAGAAAATGGGGCAGCAAGGAATGACTAGGGCATCTGGCGGACACTCAACACTCAGGGAAAGGCATGTTGGACATACAATCAGACTGGTAACATCAGAGTAGAAATTCTGTGCTTGCTGCTGAAGATGGGGATGGAGTGCTTATGGAAATGCCCCACGTGCTATGATGTCAGCTCTTAAATCAACATATCTGTAAGTGAAATACAAAATTTACCTTTCTCTTGTTCTTTAGACTTGACAAGTTTCTGAATAACTTCAGAACGTGACTTTATAAATTCTTCTTTTTTAGCCAAATGGTTATTTTGGCCCATTTTCTGAAACAAACGAAGTACAAATGTGAATTTTCTGTGTATTTAATAAAATAAACAGAACACAGATATCTAAAAATCATAACATCAGATAAACAAATCTGGCAAAATAATATGATCCTAGTAAGGATTAAACAAAATTTTTAGTGCGTAAGCGAAAGAGCAGGTTGTAAAAGAGATCAACTGTCGTGATGCAGCAAACACTAACAAGGAGAACATCATGACGGTTGGAAAGCTGCAGGGAAATAGAAGCAAGGGGAGAATGAAAGAGAAGATGCTGGACAGTCTGACATCATGGCATAAAAGATATCCTGTGTCAGAACCGACTGAAAGTACACGAGGCAGAAAGGTTGTGGACAGACATGACTATCAACACCATATGACATGGATTAGAAGAAGAAGAACAAGATGCAGAAGAAGAAGAAAAGACATACTCATTTTAAATAGCAGGCAAGCAAAATGTACGGACACACATACAAGTAGGAGAATAATATCAAGAGACAGGTGAAAAGCAGACATAGCATGTGCAACCAAGATGATAGGTGGAGCGCTGAATATCCACTGTAGCCAACCTTTACTATGAAGACAGTATGCAGATGGCTGATGTTTTTATGTGTTGGATGTGACCAAGCATATTAAGCTTTTCACTATGGATGTGAGAGTCACCTGGTGGTAAGGTACAATGTCTCACAGTTGTTATCACATCATCCCTAGATAATTTTAGTGAAGCATTTGCTAAATGTTTGCCATGCCTCCTAGTGATACATGGGGGGGGGGGGGCGGGGGGAAGGAGGGGTGGTATACGATGTCACTGGACAATGAACATCACATCAGCTACCTTTACTTCCCATGACATTTTAGGCTGGGTCAGATGGGCAGCCAATGTCCATTTGGAAAAAAAAAATCTTCTAGATTTGAATCCAAGACTGCAGGGTCAGCAGGTGAGTGCCTGGCCATTACACTACTTGGCCAAAAAAAACTGTCTAAAGTATTTTAGGATCCTCAAACGTGCTGAGATTCTTCAGACTCAGGCTAGAGTTAAAACTAGAATGGAGCACTTACTGGTTAAACCCATGTGCCATGATGCTGATCCATTAAATAAACATAATGTCAACTAATAGATGAATCATAAACACTGGATATCTGGTGCTGCATAAAGTGACTGCTGCCTAACTCCCTCAGAAACATTCAGACTCACACAGGCCATAATATGAGGCATGTGATTTGGTGGTATGGCAAAGGTCTTGCATGAAGGTCCACAGAACCAACATAGAGACTGCTGATGTGCGAGGTGAGGTATGGGTTATCCTCTTCCCAAACCACACAACAGACTGACTTTACTTTACTTTCATTTTTGTGATCAAAATCACTATGCCCTACATCAATAGTCAATTCTGGGCAATAGTAGGTCAATGGGAAATCACTTATGTTAAAGGCATCAAATCAGTACTCTTTGGAACAGAATCAAGAAGAATGACCAAAACAATTACTAATAAACTACATACAATCATTAACTGGTAACAGTCGAATAGGGGGAGTTGAATGGATTGACAATCACTGATGTTTGTTGCATTTGGAAGAGAACTAAAGAGCTAGCTAGAAACACACTGAGAAAATCTTATAATTTAACTACATACTTGTACTGGAACCCAGAGAGCCAAAGAAAGAAATGAATACCTTTTTTTCTTTTTCTCTGATAAACTTTACATCTTTGTTACTGAGATTCTGAGCATATTTACTTTAGCCGAAACTTAGCTTCACACAAACAACTAATTTAAACTGAAATATCTACCTTTGAATTTCATTCTGACAGCTTTATCCAAAATGGTATGAAAATCTCAACAACAACAAATATCGATTACTATAGGAATGCAGATCGTAGTATTAGTACTTAGTAATAAGCAAAGATGAAGAAACAGCCAAGGCAGCTGCCATTTTTAAACAAATCGAAATACAGTATAGGTTCAACGGGTGTGGGTTCCATGGACCCATTTGGGAGGTGGGGGTTGGGATGGAACAGGCGTCCCTTGGCATGTGCGTAAAAGGTTACAAAAAATGGACATGTTGAAATTGGACGGGCGCTGCCCAGCTGTAAACCACACACAGCGGTGACAACGTGCCAACCGCCCAGTTATTAAGGGCGAAGAAACATAATTAATAATCGAACACTTATGTAATCATTTGCAGTTCTTATAATATTTACTTTCTAAGCAACCACAAAGACAAAGCACGCTTACGTATTGACTGAAAATTACTTACTACGCTTTCTTTTCGATTTTCGTGATTTGACGCAGACTTCAATATGTGAGACATGGCTGTCAACTCCTCTCAAGAAGAAGAGTTGTGGCCGCTAAGATGGCCCAAACTTCTTTCTTGATGACTGAATAGTCTTTTAATGACAAAGTATGATGAAAAAACGCCGTACAATCCAAGTTGTAAATCCTCTGGTAAAGTTAAAACAATAAGAAATTAACAATTCACAGCAGACAGAACACGAAACGCCTCCGTCAGCTCTTCACTGGGTCTCGACTGTAAACAACATTG